TTTGCCAGGAAGAGTTCTTTTTATCTGGAATTAATATTTTCTCTAAACCTTTTTCAGACAGTGGTACTTGTATCCCTAGGGGTAGATCTGTAAGGTTTAAGGGATATAGCTGCTTCTTATATTAAACTCAGCATAAAAGCTTAAAGTTCTTAGAAGTAATAAATCTTACCAAACAAAATCCTTTAGGAAAAGTTCATTAATTAAAGGGGTTTCTTGGAGATATTTATAGATATAGAGGCTACATCCATCATTAAAAATGTGCACAGTTTTATGTGTTTTTTAACACACACAAGGTTGCCCATTGCAACCCAACACAGCTGGTGTGTTTTGGCCATGAAAAAAGACTCCAGGTGAGTTGTACTGCATTGTCGCTCATTTTTGATGACCCCCAAAATCATCTTTCATGCAATAAAATGCACTTCATTTTCCTTAAAATACTGCAGAGCAGCACAGAGATGTGAACAGGCCTGATTGGTTTGTATGACAAGCCTGTTTGCTGCTGTCTTCCAACGGTAGCTAGCTGTGTTATACTGCCAGGAAGAGCTTTTCAAAAAATACAGATAAATATATATGAGATACAGCAGGGGATATGCGGCCAACAACCTGATATTTTACAGTAGATAAAGTAATTCAACTCAGAACACACTGATCTGTTGTATAACATTACTTTTAAAAAAACAACTTACAAGGACAAAGCTGCACAGTATATTTTATGTAGGAACTTACATTAGTACCTCTCTAGTCTATTAACGTTGACAGTAAAAAATGTTATCACTTTGTGTGGGCTGTCAAAAGAAAGATCACTCTTTTGTCTTTTGGAGTGGACTTTTTATCACAAGCCATGAAATATTGAGCTGTTGTTTTACACACTCATTGTACCTGTTTTAACACCATGTTTTGTCTACTTAAGTGGAGATTCATTGTCTACTGTATAGCTTGGCGTCTTTATCTGCATCAAACAATTTCATGATAAAAGTAGTTTTACTAGCTTTTTAGGTTTCATGTAAACTTCCATGTTTATTTAAAAAGTGTAAATGAGCAGATAACATCATAGGGGTAGACTGGATAGACAACACACCGCTAGGTGCACGAGGTCAAAATGAGAGTGCCTCAGCTGTACATTAGCAGGTGCTTCGTTGCGGTCACAAGAGTACAGAAGACAAAGCTTGATGCATATAATGAGGAAGGATCTATTGTTACTGGTAAGGGTAGTCACACTGATACTGGAAGCACCACAGAGCAAATTAGTTTTATTCAGGAACACAATAAAAGCATCAAGATAAAATCAGAAATGCACAAATTCTGTAATAAAAACAACAATTCAAACTTAAAAAGAGAAGCAAACTAAAACAATAATTCAATTATTGCTAATTATTAAAAGATTATTATATGTCAGAAGAATTTATATGGCCCCAGGGAAGTGTGCAAAAAAACATTTTTGTTGTCCATAACCAGTAAGCTTTCAAAATTTGCAATCCTAGACGAGGTTTGAAATTAAATTTAAAGCTTTTTTATAAATTTTGAGAGATGAAGTTATAGCATATAGATTGTTAATCTGATATAAAGGGGTAATGAAAGTAAAGGTTTTCATTTTGTTCATGGTTGTTAATTTTTAGAGCCAGTAAACATTACATAGAATCCTATAGCATGTTCCCTCCTTTGTGTACATTTTCTGGTGTAAGAACACCATATACTGTATGTATTTTATTTAAAAGCTTTGGGCCATAATTCATGTTACACCCATATTCAGGGTGGAACATGAAACATAGTGGCATCCTTTAAATTTTCTGTTGTTTCTATATTGATTTCCTCACTTATTGTTCTTGTTGTGCTTGTTGCCACTGTGCATACTGCCCAAACAATTTCAGCTAATGGATCAGTCAAACCACAAACAGCATTTCTCCAGGGAACAAGGGGTTCTCCATGTTTGATTCTACATGTTACGTGATGAAGAAAGAGAATTTAAACTCCTGTTGTTGCCGGATGAAGGAGATATATTGACTGGAAAGAGGGGCACGTCTAGTAACTCTAGAGAGATCTAGCTACAGGAGAATGGTCTGTAAACTCCCCTAGATTAAATCTGTGACATATCATATACACATAATATTAGGGCCTAACTAAAACATCCATCAAATTTCTATCTATTCAAGTTTGTCCTCCTGCTGTATAGTTGGTTTACATTGAAGAGTTTACAGAGTGTGTGGCCAGTTTAGCACTTTTTGATATACCGTATTTTGCACTCCATAAGACGCACCTGACCATAGGACGCAGGGAGAATAGGGTTCTGTGACAGCTGTAGTTAGTGACAACTGAGACAGGTGGCAGGTGATCACACAGAGCAGACGAAGAACGGACGTTCCTCGTCTGCTCTACGGGCTTTATGGTGAGCTCCTATGACGTGGTCATGGGTCCCCCAGAAAACCGCGGCAGGGGAGGGGGGGCGGCGGACAGGATTGCTGCTGCTCCTTTCATACAAGAGATCTAATCAAATCGTATGAAAACGAGCGGCGGCTCCACACTATACATTTAGCTCTGCTTGTCAGGAGCCAGGCTAAATGGACAAAAAAAACTACTCGCCTGGCACCCAAACTGCATGTCCCGGGCGTCGGAGGATAGGGATTCCCTCAGCTCTCACACATTCGCTCCATAAGACGCACAGACATTTTTGCCAGCCTTTTTGGGGGGGGGGAAAATGTGTCTTATGGAGCGAAAAATACAGTATATATATTTCATGATGGGACTTTATGTAGCAACTCGGCGAACTGGAACCAGTTTTAGAATTTATGGAAAAAAACCAAGACAGCATTGGCCTGGGTGCACTATATGAAAAATATTAGGTGTCATTTCACTTTGGCAGAGTCCAGGGTTAAAATGGAGTTTTCCTATACAGCTATATAAGTATTTGATTAAAAGCTGGAGAAATCATATACTTTAAAAAACAAGCAATATTTGTATATGTGTCTATTCAAATTATTATAGGTTTTACATCACAAGAGCTAGCTAAGCAATTAGACTTTTTCACTTTTATGTTCACTTCAGATGGCATGCATTAACTTTAGATTCAATCACTTGGTTTCTTTTTTTTGTTTTTTGGCTCGATTAAAAGGAAACACAAGTGAATCTAGAGATTAAATGTACTCTTATCACTACTATTACTACTATTCAAAATTTAAAATGTTTAGCTGAATTTATTCAAATTAGTAACATGGCCTGTACCATACTAATGGCTTTATCCTGCATTAATGTGTAAAGAGAAAGGTATTCCTTCCTTCAAATAACCAGAAACCAGATAATATAAATCAGAAACCAGCTTTCATTATTCTACCCACTTTGAAAGCCATAAAGACTTGCACCTATGGGCACCCTAAGCTATGTTAATTAAGTACACAAATAAAGGCTTCCAGTGAAATTACTATTGGCTAGCCCTGCTAATTCTGTGGGTACTTCAAGATCTCTGTAGACCAGATTAAGGATAAGGGAAGTGGTAGGATCAGTTAATATAATGGTACCACCCATAGACTTGAAACACTGTCACCTGACCCTGCCATTTCAATTAGATCTGGTAATGTATAGACCCTCTGTATCAGATAGACCTTTGCTGTTCAACCGCTGTTGGGGTGAACAATTAATCTCACAGGTTAGAAAACCCATATACAATCTGGAACCTACATCAACCCTCCTCCACAGCAGAGGCAAACAAAATTAATGCTTAGCTTAGCTGAGTTTCCATGTTTTTGAAAGGGTTGTCTGAGAAATATATTGAAGGGCTGATATATCCAACCTGCATCAACCTGCATATCTGACCAGTCCACCCTGATGGTCAATGGATGGGCATGTCTGCCAGACACAAAAGTGTGCATTAAAAACTGGGATGTTTTACGTAGGCACCATTATTTTGGGATCCCAAGTATATATTTGCTTTATGTATGCAGCTGATGATATATGTGTGGCAACAGAATCCTTTACTATAAAAGATTCCTGCTGTGTGGGCTCGACAACTTTTTTTCATACTAATATTATTTGATGTGTATCCAAGATGACATTTTTAAGGTTGTTTTAGCAGATGTTATGATAACAGCAGGTTGGGTAAAAGGATTATCTTTATTTCATTGGCTGGTGTATGTGATTCTCCATTTTATTTCTGTGTTTTTCTTTATTAATGATAAAGGATCCATTTGCAACTTACATTTAAGTTGTGAATTGCCAGCAATGGGTTTAATCACTGTAACTTTCTCTAACTCTACCCCCTCCCACATACAGTTGCCAAACACAAGAACCTCACTTCTCTTGCTGCATTCTTTGTGTTGTAAAATATAATAGAAAATCCAACAGTCAGATCAACAATGTCCGAATGGACAGAGTTAGGAACTCGTGTTGAAATCTCACCACCAGAATCTATGAGACATAAAATAACTGATGTGTAATTGTAACTGCTTCTACTAAACTTAGAAATTGAAGATCTGTTTTGGAAGGATTTACCCTTTAATACAGGCTGTTGATTGTATGTAAAGTTCGTCATACCAGAATAGAGATTGTATTTTCAGCAACATTTTGTGCTAATATCCCCCATGTACAACAAGAGGACTTTAAGTGATCTGACCTGATAAAACAAAGATGAATAGAGATTACCTGGAGCTCCCAATTACTGCCTCATAGTAGAGAAGTTCCTTGATATACACTATATAGTGGATGTGCATGTTAGGTGAAGGAAGACCTGATCATTTGCTTTAGAAAGATCAGATTCTTCTCTTCCTAAACCTGCCTTGTCCAGATCAGCAGTATGTTTATGTGGTTTTGGAAGTACAATGAATACTATGGAGCAATATGTTTAGTACACTCTCTACGAAATAGCTCACAGTAATGCTTGTGCTCTTTTTCTTTTTTGTGTAGGTATGTTTCTCTGACTTGTGTTTATTAGGCCCTGTAGTTACATGTAACCATAGCTATTTCCTCAGAGATCTATACACATCAGTCAGTAACTCTTTCTTTTTGTTTGGCAGTTTTCATATGCAGCTTCATGGTGGCCGCTCCGATATTTGGTTACTTAGGAGACCGCTTCAACAGAAAAGTGATCCTGAGCTGTGGGATATTCTTCTGGTCAGCAGTCACCTTCTCAAGTTCCTTCATCCCCAAGCAGGTAATATATGAATGAATTGCAGAGAGTGCCTAAGATAGATGAGATGCATTATGCTTGTGACACATATCTGCAGCATAACAGAGCTTCATTTGCTGCTGTGTTTTTACATTACATGGAACATTATGAAATGCTGCATGTACTGAATCTCACATGCAATAGGCAATTCATTTATTTTCTAAGAACGTATTTAGGTGTATGTAGTAAATATCCAGTACTTGGTATAAATCCACCATTCAAAATGTATTTTATTAATTTACGGCATAAGACTAAATACCAGTTACATCAAACATACTGATGCGTTTCAGCCCCTAAGGGCCATGGTTATAGCTGACAGAAGTCATGCACCAGAGTCCCACTTTGTCAGATTGGATGGCCAAGGTAGAGCTCTAACATTTAACTTGGTCTGCTTCTTAACTATTTCGGTGAACATATGGCATAAGGAGGAAACTGTGTTACATAAAATGTTTCAAGTAATAAAGTTTAAACTACGATTTTGTTATTTTCTGAAGCAGTAGTGTTTTAAATTTTAAAGCTGCTACATATAATATGTGGTATTGTGATTAAAGGGCAGCAGACGAATCCTCATATTCAGCACTTCCATAGTGCTATAATTGTTATAATAAAAGCTTTTGTATCAACATGATCAGCCAAGCCAGTGTGAAGAAGAGTAGGATAGTTAAAGTGACATTAAACCCTCAGATTTTTTAACATAAACCAATACTGTAATGTGTGCCTTACTGTAATCCATGGTAGTTTCCCTTCTCTTTGCTGCTCTTCCTTTTAACTCCTCATGTCTTCTCATGCTTGGGGAGAACTTCCCTTTGCAGCTGAGTGCCTCTTCCTGTAGTGCTGGCTCAGGTTGCAAACGTACACACAGACACCATGTAGCCATTCCAGAAACAAGGCAGTCTGCTGCAAAACAGAAGTTCTGCCCAGCATGAGAAGAGATACAGCTTTAAAAGGAAGAGCAGCAAAGAGAAGGGAAACAACCATGGATTACAGTAAGGCACACATTACAGTATTGTTTTATGTTAAAAAATCTGAGGGTTTAATGTCACTTTAACTTAGCTAATTTGGGGTAGAGGGAGATTTCTTAATAACTGATGGACTCTATGATCATATTCAGGGAAATTTATAGAAGTGTATAAATGACAGGTACAGCAATTATAAAAGATATATTTTTTTAAAAGCTGGTGTGAAGTAATACAGCCTTAGATCCTTTACATAAAAACAATACATTAACAATAGCATGGTATGAGTTGCTAAATTATTCCATGTATGAAAGTGTAAGATTCATGATCAGCAATTTCACTGCACATTTTATGTATCAGACAAGGATGGTTTTTTTTCACTTTACACAACATGTAAGAAACTGTTAACATTTTTGCGCCAGTTTTTGTGAATTCACCTATTTATATTTAGTGCTTTTTTGTGGAAGGTTCTCTTGCCAACTTCTTCTCCATTTGGTAACTGAATAGAGAATGGCATGCTGTCTGGATAAAGATTTAGAACAATAAATGCATACAGCATTTGGTAAACGTACAGAGAGATATTTCTTAATGACCTTTTTAAAGAGCATAAAAGATTAACGTGAAAACATCTAAGGCCCCTTTCACTGGGGTGCCTGTCTTCTCTGATCAGCAGGGGATCTCCTGCTGATTGGAGCATAACGGAATGGATGTCCCTTTTGCCATGGAGGAAATAACTGGACAAACTGACCCATGTTAGGGCTATGGCCCGGCGAATGTAAACGGACGTACATCTGCTTACATCCTATTACCTCTAATCTGGCGCGTTTAGGTCCGAAAACACTGAACTCTTTTGTTTTGTTTTTTGCAACCATACAGGCTTGGAGGTAATTAGATGTCTGTTTACATCCGGGACATGCATCCACTCACAGAGCCCTTGTAATGTTTGCCTAACATTTAGAGTGCAACTGAAGCCCAAACTTTTCTTTCTAGTTTTGGATAGAGTGGAGAGGAATAAAAACACATGTCAAGTTTTGATTGCTGTGTGTGTCCCTGTTGAGGAGATTAACCCTCTCTACAAAGTTTGGGTTGTTAACAGAACAGGAATAGATGGGAAATCTTCCAACTAGTTCTGGTGACCCTCCTGACCAACAGGAATTTTCTTAATTTTGTGAAAAGTGAAGGGAAGGCTCCCCAATGGGAAAAAATGCTGACAGGTGGTAACCCTGCCCTACTCTATCCAAAACTAAAAAGAGGTTTTGGCTTCAGTTCTACCTTAAACAGCACAAGGGAACAGCAGTTTTTTTTTTCATGGCAGTCTACTAACTGTAGATTAGATAACATGGTTGAGGTAAACATAATATGTAAATATTACTCACATTCAGTTTTTTCTTTTTTTTTGGACCTGGTCCAAACACTCTCACATTGTCTTGGCCTTTTTTTTCTCTTTTTTTTTGTGCTGTGTGTTGGAGGATTTCAATGGATATATATGGGTTTAGCACTACATTGACATGGTAAAACTCACAATGGCATACCTAATACAAGTAAAATGGGGCAAACGTCGAGAGGTCCCAGATGTTGGTGATTAGTCACTCACCTTATCCCAGCATTATATGTTTAGTTAAGTTTCCCTTCATGAATATACAGTATGAATCATTACACCCTATGAAATACTAGCATTGTATAAAGTCTTATCCTATATATTGATACAGATAGTTAAACTGTAAAGACAAGCCACATTCCTGAACACCAATAAAAGTCTGCTGTCCAGACAAAATAATACTGAAAGCAATGCAACTCCATAGACTGGTCTCAAAGACATGCCACACCACATCCTAATTGTGTCAGATTGTCATTCAAATATGTCTTTTTACATGGCAAAAGCTCAGACTTTTGTTTTAACCTGTCAGTTTCTCTTTTGTAGTAATTATGACATAATAGCTTGAGAAAATTACAAGGCTGCGAGAGGCTGCAATGTGAGAGGTGCAACATTCCTCCTGAGATTAACTAGAACATTCAATGTCACAGCCATTCTAAAGCTTATTTTTAATGACATTGTGCTCACTTGCATTCCAGCTGCATATGTGCTGGCACTCCAAATGCTAAAGGATCTATCTGCAGGGGTATTGCTAGGACTGTATGTTTTTCTATGTAGCTTATGATAACATTCTGCAGTGCCTACAATGTATCCTTATGCCGATCGTACTTTTTAGGACAATACATATATACATTATATAAATTAGGGATGCATCGATACCATGGTTTCCAGACCCAGTACAAGTACTGATACTTTTTCTCAAGTACTCGCCAATACCAATTACCAATACTTTTTTAGCGTTGTTCTTAAACAATACAGACTAATGATTTTAGAACAGTGGTGGAGCACCATGGCCCGGTCACAGCTGCAAATGCTGCACCCCTGGTAGTTCTGCCACTGACTCAAAGCTGCAGAGGACTACAAATCCCAGCAATACATTATACAACAATGCAAAATACCACCAGCTAGGACTACAAATCCCAGCTATACATTAGACAGCAATGCAGAATACCACCAGCTAGAGAGGCGTACAAATTCCAGTGATACATTATGCACTAATGTCGCATGGCAACCGGCTATAGAAAGACTACAAATCTCTGCAATGCTTTAAATTGTGTTTTTGCGTGGGGTCCCCCTTACCCCTGTCTCGAATAAAAGTCTGGTAGTTACTTTGGAGGGACCACACACCGTTTTTTACATTTATGTTTTTTACATTTACACTTTTTTTTTAGACCGGGGTGCCACAAGATTTTGCATACATTAAATGGGGCAGTGACTAAAAAAGGTTGAAAACACTGTAATGAATAGATAGATAGATAGATAGATAGATAGATAGATTGATAGATCTGTTGCAGGATGTTTTCATTTTGGCTCTCGGACTATTCCTAACACTCCTGCTTTACACTGATCACACTCCAGGAAAGGCTCTGAATGCATGACCAGCTTCTCATTTTCCATTCATTGTGAATATTCGCAGACTGTATTTTCCCTAAATGTCCCAATTTAATATCCTCATTGAGCAGCGGGTGGTTTTTCTAGTGAATAACATTAACAGAAAAAGCACATTTTCTCACTGTGTCAATTTACAGAATCGTCAGTGTGAGGATCACATAAATACAGTAACTGCAGCAGCAAAAAATAAAATAAACCTAAACCTGGCATTGTCTTTTTTAAATTTATCTTATTATTTTTTACTTTTTATTTTTTTATACATTTTTTATTTTATTATTTTTACTTTTTTATTGCTTTTTTATGTTTTACATTTTTCATTTTAACTTTATTGCTATCACACAGGAGCCCCTGTGTGATAGCATTTGGAGGTGACAGGTTCTCTTTATTGGACCTGTCACCTCCAATACAGGAGTTTGAGAACAGCACTGTGCTGGCTCTCCTCTGACAGATTAGATGGGAAGGCTGCGAGTGCAGCTCTTCCTTCTCAGTGTTCACATGGAGCAGAGCGGAGAATGGATGTTCTCCGCTCTGCTCCCCACTTTCCATTCTTAACTACCTTGCCATGGTCCCGGGTCCTCAGAAGAGCATGGGACCGAGAAAACCATGGCGGAGAGGGAGCTTGACAGCAGGGAGAGAGGAAGCCGGAGATGGGGGCGGACCATGGAGGGGGTGGCCGGCGTGGGGGGGACAGAACTGCAGGCTTATTACAAGTGATCTCAGCAGTATCGCCGAGATCACTTGTACTAAACGAACGCTGGCTTCCCCGTTCTACATTTAGCCCTGCTTGCCCGTAGCAGGGCTAAATGTAGAAAAAAAAACTATCCCTCTACTCCCTGCCGCTCCGAGGCCAGGCCTCGGTAGCCTTGTGAGAAATCCGGCCAGTCATACCTGATCTATTTTATTTCTTTACCTTGTCATGTACAGAGTGTAATGAGCAGAACTATATTATTATTACACTTACTACAGTTATCCACATGAAAATATTTTCTAGGAACAAACAGCAATTTGTATTTATTTGCAGCACCTTACCAATCACATTGAACATTCGTATCAGCTTTTGCCCTTGAAGGAGCTGCTAGTCAAACAGTTAAAGGGAAACCGAAGTCATGTACATGTTTCTTTAGTTTTGAATAAAGTGGAGAGACATTAGAACATTTGTCAGGTTTTATTGCTGTCTGTGTCCCTGCTGGGGTGATTTACCCTCTCTATTTGTCTTGGTGATCGTTATCACTGAAAATGAAAGAAGATACCAAATTTGGGTTGTCACCAGAACAGGAATAGAGGGGAAATCTTGGAATGGGAACACTAGTTCTGGTGACCCTGCTGACCTGCAGGGTTTTCCCCCAGTTTGGAGAGATTTCCTCCCTCCAAAATGAGGGAGGAAATGCTGTTGTGAATTTCGGGCAGAAAGTTAAGGGAAATCTCCTCAGAGGAAAAGATGACAAAATAAAAGTTAACAGGGGTTTTAACTCCCCTAAGCCCACCTTACTGACTTTTTGTCTTCAGTTCAACTTTAAGCACTAGGGAAAGTCAGTACATCTACCAGTAGGTTTTAAAACTATGGAAAGTAATCAGAGCACTAGGAGGAAAGCCCACACAAACTGGGAGAGAAAATAAAAATTCTGTGCAGTATCCTTGATGAGGAATAAACCCAGGACTCCAGTGCTGCAATGCTGCATGCTGGTTAGTCTTTTTGAATTCGTAGAAAGCACTACACTCGTCATCATAGCACATTCATTAACTAGATAAAAATATTTATTCTTATGTTTTCATTGTAAGCTTCTTTTTCATTTGGCCCTTTTCTTCAATACAAAATAATATATGCTAATTATTTTGCATCAGATTTAATAATGGCTCAAAATAATATAGTGAGGGAATATTGGAGAACCTAAACACTCTATGTACAAAGACATGCCCGGACCCTAATTAGTGGTCTCGTCAGTGTGTGCTGTATGGAGGAAATGTGGCTTGATGATTGTGCACACTAAGTATGGGCTCCTGTACCAAGTATCTATCTTGTGTTGTGCCTTAATTAAATGTATTTGTTAAGCATTCAGTTAGAGGATGGATACAGTAGTCTTGCTTGTGTCATTCTCAATTTCCATATTGTGATCCTCCTTTTGATGTTCTCATCCACATACTTCCTCTAAATTAATACAAGGATTCACAAGATGAGCTTGGCAATGTGTGATTTTGCAAACCATTATTTTTGATAATGATATCAACCTGTAGTCTAGACCTATTTAGAGTGACATAATAGTATGTTACTGTTTAGAAAAGGGGTAAATATACTAAGAGTTTGCTAAATGATTTTGCTTGAACTTTTGCCTCAAAGCAATTTATAAATAGGGATGTTTTCTGCGTTGTTTGCCTCAGATGAGGATATAAATTGGGCACTGTGCATTTTTATGGAAACCCTCATTGGCAATCATGACAGTAGATTTAGAAGATGCGTGATCTTTAGAACCTTTTTAGCATTTGATGTGTTCCTAAATTCAGTAGTGTCCCCTGTGGTTTTCTTGTGCTTGATGAGGTGACTAAGTCTGGTATTCAGAGATGGCTCAGAATTGCTCCCAAAGAATAAAGACAAATATTGGCATGCAGTCCTACAAAGGAGGTATCTATTCTCATGCAGACTGCGTTAATAATACAAAGTGCATTGCCTAAAGGGCACAAGATTAAAACAAAGGGCACGCTGAGACTTTTTAATGGTGTGCACTGACCAGAGTTTTCATTACAAAAGCTAACAAGCTTTTTAGTGCGACCGCTCCAAATCTGTCTAGTTTACAAGGCATTGAGGTAGATGTCTCCTATTTACTCTTCCTAAAGCAGGCAATCAGAATTCTAATAGGCACAAACTACCGTAAAATATTAGCTGTTGCATTTTAGTATGCCTTTTAAAAGTCACTAAATATGTCACCAACTTTAAAAAAAGCACAAAAAAATCAAATATTCAAAATGTTTACTTGCAATTATTTTTCTTTCCATAATTTTTTTATACACTTGCAGTGACTACTGCCAGAAGAGCCAATCCCTAGCACAGCCCCCTCCCTTCTTGTACCTCATAGCCCTCTTCTTTTCTGGCAGTGTCTAATTACTCTCTGTGCTGGTCCAGCTCCTCTGCCCCTCCTCTCAACTCTCTACATAAACTTTTATGTAGCTGTCGGTTGAGAAGCGAAGAGGAATACTATAGTGTCACTTGAGTGACAGCTCTGAGTCTGCTGGAGCTGCTGACATCCAGGATAGTGACACCCATTATTAAATAAAAATTATCTTATGGACTGATTGGCTATAATGATAATAATAGTAATACAGTTGCATCTACCTTTTTGGTATGTTTCTACAACACTATTACAGGAGTTTCATAGTAAAAAGTACTTATAATAGGGCAGTTAAGGAAGCTCATACAAAAGCATTACACCAACAAGACAGCCTGAGTTTTTAACACAGAGGAGAACCATGCACTTGTGTGAAGTCCCAAGCATTTGGTCATGGGATCTGTCCTGAAGGTGATTAGGCTATCTGGGTTCCGAGTCTCCCCTTCTGGAAAGATCACATGACCAAGAGCTTTAAAAATGTGGCCAGGACTGAAGGTAGCCTGGAAAGTATTTTCTCCAGGAATGTATTTCAGACAAACATGATTTAATGGTTGTGGTCTGATCATTTTTGGTAATCCTTTGAATATTAGTCTACTTTAAGTCACAACATAATCTATTTGTTCTAGAATTCAAATGTAACTTTCTTAATGCGTGTCTCTCTCAAATGCTGGAAATTTCATATCCTCTTCTTTAATTGTTGTTATGCCACTGTTTTGCAAACTGTAATTGTGTTAAGCCCAGTATTAACTGATGATGCTAAAATAAATGCCTTGCAAGTATACATTATATGCATTATTCATCTAGCAGATATTAATGGGTCTGTCTGATTTCTCAGTTCGCTCAGTGTCATCATCTACAAACTTATCACTAGGTAACAAAAAAAATAAGGATAATAAACCTGAAACAGAATAAGCTGCCGTATGCTGATAATTGCTTAACACATACTACACAAGCCATTACCGTAATGCTTTTTCTTTTGTATATTGGGGCTGCCAAGCTGATAGCAGGCTCCCTGCCAGCAAGGATACACCCATCTTTTCTGTTGTTGTTGTTGTGTATTCCCAATACATGTCCCCTGACCAGTTTCCGTGGCAACTAAAGGAAAATGGCTTAGGCATTAACACTTTCATACTCTTTATAATGGAATAGCCCAAGCTCCATCCTGCCTACACTGTCTTAGAGTGGTGAATACTAAATATTAAAATTCAGTTTTACTATCTTCCTTTGCAGTATTTTTGGCTGCTTGTACTCTCCCGAGGCTTGGTGGGCATCGGGGAAGCCAGTTACTCAACAATCGCTCCCACTATCATTGGAGACCTGTTTACCAAGAACACACGTACAGTTATGCTGTCAGTCTTCTACTTTGCTATCCCTCTTGGAAGGTAAGCATTATTTCATGTGGTGTAGTGTGTTACAAGTAGGAAGTGGTCAGTGCAGAGTATCCTTAGTCAGCATAGGCTCTAGGACTTTTTATAGCATGTCACACTGGCTGCATTCACTTTCTATGCAGAACCATGCACTGCCCATGGATCAGGGAGCTGATACTACAACATTTCATATTTCATCATCTATCAACAACTGTTGAATTTTGACACTACAAGAATCTACTTATTAGGTTTATTAACATTTGGAATTAGTGTAATAAAGTTCAATATCTTTTTTAGGGCTATAGTTGCCATAATTAACATTAGCAATCAGACCTGACAATTTTTTTGTTGTTTTCACATAATACATTGTCACACTGATAAGTGTAAACTTACTCAGAACTGCAAAGTGTACATTGAAATGCATACAGGGAGCTCAGTCTATGGGATCAGTAATCTAAGCATTGCTGTATTGCATCAGTCCAGCCCAATGCATTTTGTCATAAATCTGGTGATCTAAGAACCCCATCTTGTAATGCAAGAGTGCTGCTCCATGGTCACAGCAGGCTCCATGTTGTCTCTTACATACAACCTGATGTAAAAAAGTGCCTGTGCTAAGGACTTTCTCCTAACTCCAGTAAGATTCAAACCTACCGTGGATGTTTGAATGTTTGAACGTCATTTAAAGTGGAAGTGAAATATGTTCTTTAAAACTGCTGATATGCAGGGTTTTTTTGGCAGAAGAGACCTCGGCAAGGTCCTGTACCAAAACAAAGTAATTCCCATGCTCATGCATGAGAGTTACACTATTCCAGCCAATTAGGAGGCTTAAGATACTGAACCAGGAAGGAGACTGGGTGAAGATGGAAGCACGTCTGATGGAGGGAAGAGCAGACAAAGCAGTGCTATGTATACTAGCAAATTATGGCTAAAACCTCTGGAGGGCTTTTTCTGTCGCTTTTTAAAAAACTATACTTCTGCTTTAAGAAAACCCCAAACCCCTGTTGCCCTAACTGGAGAATTAATTAATTATTTGTGTTTAATACAAAGTTTAAAAAAACTATTCCATAAAGATTATAAATAAAAACAGAAGTTATACACATATTTTAGATATATTTATTTATGTTTATTTTCATAAACCAAGTCTCAATTCTATTTTTAAAGTCCAGATGTGGTACAATGTAGATATGTTTTCTATCGCCTCAATGTGATTTGCAGGATGACCTTCTTCCTCAGGAGGAGATATTATTTTAGGTGCTATACCTGGAATGGCATAAATGCATTAGCACTATGTCAAAATCAAAATTAAACATCCAATTATAACATAAAAGAACTGTATAGTGTAAATCTATTATTATTACTTACACTAATATTCAGTCATCTAGTTAAATGTGCGGCCGCGTGGACCTGATTATAGGCGTCTCTGTTTAAAGTGACACTAAACTCAGAATCTACATTCTAAAAAGTGCATTCAAGCACCCTAACTATTAACAAAAATGTATCTTATTTGTGCAACACTCGGCTGTCGATCTTGAAACATCTCTGAATTGGTGCTGACACTGTCTTTTCTTCTTGTTCTCCATGGCCCCTGTGTGTGTGGTAAAGTAGCTACCATTCCAAGGTCGCTCCCGTGATGGACTACAATCTCAGTTTTAGTTTACTAATTTGTATTGAGATTATAGTCCATCACAGGAGCAAGCTTGGAGCGGTGGCTAATTTACAACACACACATGGACCATGGGGAACAAAAGTAGCCACAAATAAATACATTTTTGTTATTAGGGTACTTGAATAAATTTTTAAGGTTTAACTCTTGAGTTTAGTGTCACTTTAAATATGATTGGTGACACAATCAAAGTGGTGACACAAACAAATATTAGCACTGGCTTTAGGAAATACACCCCGAGTGACCCTGTAGGATTCTTTTTGCATTTTGACTGCAGTTGTACTCAGAATAAGATAAACTATGAAAACTTTCTGGCATTAGTTCAGCTGTAGGGTTTTCTAGATTTATTTATTTATTTATTATAGGTATTTATAAAGTGCTGACAGCTTTAAGCAGTGCTTTATATCTGCACACTCACATCAGTCCCTGCCCTCAGGTAACTTACAATCTAGCATTAGTAGTTCACGGTTTGGTTTTCCTTATTGCCTGGAACTGCTATTTTAATACATATTATTTATTAATGAAAGGCAACAATTTGTTGTGTCCTGTAAGTTTCCAGACTACATTAAAATAGCTGTGTTTCCTCATCTGTTGCATGATGATAAAACCATTACTATTAATATAACAGAGTTGGCCAAAATATAGGGAAAGAGTTTGTTTTGACAGCACAGTGTTGGTTCCAGTCAACGTTGGCGGCATTTACAATAGTTGACCTCTGCACTGGAAGTCAGTAGACTGCATGGCGTATAACATACAAGTAGGTTCCTGTAGGCAATTTCCTATAGTGAAGTGGCACAGTGAGATAATTTCCTGACAAATAAACAGGAGCAGCACTAATCTACTGTGGTTTACTATAAGCATCACAATAGGGAAAAGCAGCGTTAGCCCAGCATGCATAGTCCCTTGCATGCTTGCTGCAAAACTACTCTGCTTATCAGATAAGATATGTTTTCATCTACTTTACTAAATGTAGGCCCTGCCTTTTGCTGTGAGGTTTAGAGCATTGCTTAATAAACATACATACAAAAAATAATTTCACTCTAGTTCAGATGTATATCAAGGCAGATTTTCATATTTCTGATAGAAACAGATATGCAACAGCTGATCAAAGCATTACAAATATTTTATTATTTTTTGTGCTAGGAACATTTAAACAAAAAGACCTAACATGGGACAAAAATACCCAACATGGGACAAAAATACCCATTGCAACATATATCCCTTCTACCTAGCCTGATTAGATTTAGTGTATGCCAAGGCAAAATAAAAAAAATTATAATCAGTACATCTCCCCATGTATTTCCACTTCTGAAAATACAGAAAAATATCTGTTGATCTGCCACAAATCTGCTGATTCAGAAAGTTACAAATGATTTGCGGAACTAAAATCTGGAGCAGTATTATTATCCCTGCCCAGTTCCCCTTGATTACAGAAAAGCTCCCTTTATGTTATGGCGAGAAGGAGAGTGAGAGGTGTTCTATATTTTTAAAAGGGATACAACATGTGCATTTATTGCAGATGCGTGCTAAATATGTTTTTATATGTTTATTTTGGCCAAAAATACACATAATTGTACAATTACTCCTTTACATATTATCTAGACCAAGCAGCAACTTCCACATTTTATGGGACTTTTCCTTCTGATATATACTAGGCTATTATTATTTAAAGCTTTTATATCACCAACAATTTGTTTCAGAGTGGAGCCGACAAGGCCACCCATGGCTCAGATTTTGACCAATTCAGCAGGAATCAGTTAAAATTCAAGCCCTGTAAATCTACCTTTTTGCAGCACTTTACATACTGTACATTCACATTAGTCCCTTCCCTCCAAGGAGCTTACAATCTAACGTCTCTAGCTAACATACATACATACACACATACTAGGGTCAGATTAGACAGGAACCAGTTAACTACCTTCCTTTTTGGAGGAAACTGAAGTACCTGGAGAAAACATAAACACATGGAGAACATGCAAACTCCATGTCAATAGTGTCATTGCTAAGATTCAAACTGAGGATCGCAAATGCTACTAGAGAAAAATGCACCAAATAAACAAACACACAATTCCAGTTTTTAAAAAAGGAGCCAAAGCCACACAAACTCACAGTTGTCTGTATAGGTTGAATGTTTAACAATTCTACTTTTTTTGTTGCCTGCAGTGGCTTAGGCTATATCACTGGTTCAAGTGTCAAGCAAGTTGCAGGGGACTGGCGCTGGGCTCTGAGGGTAAGATATTCATTTTAATATATACAGAACCATTACTGTTCCAAAAATGAAATGCTATTTAATAGAGAATGCATCTAATTCTATATAACAGCAGCTAGAAACAAGAAAATGGCAGGTGCCCAGCATTAACAAGAAACATTTGCACACAATTTGCCTGTTTCACTGCTTTTCTCTTTCTTGCATTTTTGGGGGGCTTATTTCATAATGCAATGCAAGAAACGGTAATTAAGTATAATGTGCTCGAGACCAATTGGATTTCATTTTGCTGCAGTTAGATCACTTAACTTCTGGTTGATACTGTTTGGCAGCTCATCATGGTGCTTTACAGCATATCATAGCAATAACAATATTACTGTGGATGGTGCAAAAATAAAACAGGCTGTCAAATTACCATGACCAATGCAAATAAATTGTGAAACCGCTTTTCAAGGGGCCACCTTATGTGTACTGCAGACCACACCTACTAGATTTCTGCATAAAATGCTAGCACTTTGGTAATTAATATTATACTAATAACTGTGAATTACAGCATCATATTCCATAGAAAGGACCCATAAAACATTCCCGAATAATATTCAGTTTCCAAACACTATAGGCGTGTAATAAAAACTTTATCAGGTGGGCCATCATTCAGTTTTAACCCCTTAACCAGCTGTGAAGCCACAAAGGAGTAAGAGGGGCCAAAAAAAACCCCACCAGTTTAATATACCTGAGGAACCAGGGAACCTGAGTCACATATGTGCTCCTTTTGGTTAGCATAGGCTTGCTCACGTTTTGATTACTGAAGTCACCAACTGGGAGCATGCTCTAAATGTAAAGCCACCCGTTCACTAAAAAAGGTAAATACTTTTCCACTTTAGAAAATAACACAAATGATGTGTTCTAGAGAGATGAGATATATTGGCATTAGCAAGAGAAGGGGGTGGTATTGTGAGGTGCATCATTTTAATGTTGTTAATTGTTATGATTAGAGTATGTGATTTGTTGATGCATTAATGCAATTCCCTATTTAACACAAGGATTGTTTACATACTTGTGTTCTGAAAAAAGGGAAGTTAGAGAAGTGAACCATCATTGTTAGGCTGGGTACCTGATTGTGTTCTACCAGCTGTAAAATATGTCCTTGTCTTGTTTGGAAAAAAAAACATCCAGTGCCCTTAATGAAATTCCAACCATTTGATCTTAATTAGCGGCTGCCATCAAATGTTTTATGCTTTCCACTCTCTACGATTATAACAAAGACCATTTCCTGATTTGAGGAAAAACATGGTTTGTTTCCATTGCTCTTTGCTGTGGTCTCTAGGTTTCATACATTATCTTTTCCATAGCAGAATGTGCTTTGACCATATTGTTATAAATATAATTTTAAAACTTAACAAGCAGGAAATGTTGCTTCTTTGCCCTTAACCCTCTCTAAACTCCTCTGTTAAACCAGGCAACTGACCAGACAGGCTAATTCACAACATGAACAATTATACTTGTGGCCGACCAGATTGAACACTTACATGGTTATTCACAAAAGCGTGAAGAGTTTGGAGAAGGCAGGAGAAGTGAACAATCTAGGCCAAAATAGCTGATTTGGAAAAAGTCTCCAATTCAGCTCACTTTCCAGCTGAGCTATGTTGTCCTAGATTATTTACTTCTCCTGCCTTCTCCAAACTCTTCACTCTTTTGTGAATAACCCTGTTAGTGACAGTGTAGTCTTTTAACTATACTTGTTTTGCTCTCCCTTTTGGAACCCTCTTATTTTTACCACCATTATCTTCAAACAGTACCTACAGACATATTGAAGTGAAATGCTAAACATATTAAAGTGGGGTGTCTCGCTTGGTTTTTATTGACTTCTATGAACCTGGTGGGAAGGTCTTTTTCCAAAATTAGTAGGGTTCTCTCTCGGTTCCTCTCTGTGGAGTGCATTCTACATATATTCCTATGAACCATAAAGCAATGACAACATTATTGGTGCCTTTCGCCAAGGTGGATTCTACACAGGAATACATAGAGGTATAGGGACGCAGCTCAGATGGTAGCAGAGCTGGCTGTCACATCCCACTAGGAATATGGGAAGGGGAACGGACGCTGGCAAAAACAGCAATATATTGGGAGTGGGCAGAAATTCTTCCTCATTTCACCCAAACTGGAACTCAACATCCAGAACTGTCTGAGACACATTTAAAGCCTTATGGTAGGCACTCTGCAGACTAAGACTGTTCTGCCAAACCAGAGTTGATTGTGAGGTACCATCTGTGCACATCTGTTTTTTATAGCATACAAATCTATGCTTTGTAATTGTAAAGGTCATCATGAAAAACAGAAGCAAACACAAGCATGATGTATTAGAAGAGAAAAAGATCAAGCTGCATTAGTTTATACTGTAAATCTTTTATCGACAAGATGAAGCTGTACACACGTCACATGCAGGTAGACCAGGAATCTAGTGTATACATCCTTCTGGCAACAATCTTGGATTATGGATGGATAAATGCAGGAATGTACGTAGGATCATGTGGCATCATCACAGCAGCTCATTAGAAATAATCAGATGCTAAATACTCAATGCTGGCTGAACACATACTTAACACTCCGATCACAACCTTCCAAAAATACTCATCACAATCTCTCATTTAACAAATGGCAATATCCTTCATTTACTAGGATAGAGCTGCAGATGTCCTTGTCTCTGGCTACAAATGACTCTTCCTTCTGCAGTCTTATTGAGCATGTATAATGAAACAGTTTGGACTGATTTTAATAGTTAAATAATATAGATTTTAGAATACTTATGAACATGGTTCTAACTATTTATATTTAAAATTATTAGATGTACCACTAAATATAACAAAATGCATTATCTTGCAAATGATTGGTCTATTCAATTAATATTTCAGCATGACATCTCTTTCAGGTCTCACCCGTTTTGGGCATGATAACTGGGTCTTTGATCCTGATATTTGTACCAACTGCCAAAAGAGGCCACATAGAACAACTTAAGGCACGGAGTTCATGGTTTCGAGACATGAAGGCTCTGCTTAAGAAGTAAGATCTATGTATAAACATAACTGCCTATTACAGAGCTTGTAGGTATCACATGCTGCTCCCAGTTCCTCCAAAGGACTGCACAATATACAATCGATACTGAATTAAGAATGTGTACATTAGTCAAGTGTTCTGTCCCTGTTGCTCATGCAGAACCAATGTTCAGTGGCAGTATTGACTGCCACAAACCACTTCATAAATCCCCCCTCTGCTGCTCTAAAGTAGCACTGCAACAGAATAAGCCCCCCTCCCAACCGACCTCTTCTTAAAAAGAGAAGTAAAGGCACATTTTTGGGGGGCTCTACTTCTCTTTTGTACCACTGGAATACATTTACTAATGTCCTCCTGTGACCCAAAGTCTGCATAAAGCAGGCTACTACCCGCTATATGCTACCAGCACAGAGCTGTGCTTTAGCCAGGACCTACAATATTGTCGATATTCACCCGGCTGCTGGATTGACAGCTGCTTCTGCTTTTCCAGAGCCAGAGATAGCTGTGCCCAGCCCCTCCCTTGTGTGTCCCTCCAATGAGTGCTGAAGGAGGAGGGGGGGG